TTTATAGACCGATTATCTACCATGAAAGTAGTAATCGTACAGTATAGAACTGGGCTGTTTTATCCTGGAGGCGACGCGGTAGTTCGACTGCTTTGCATAATTTTGAGCAGTGCTGCGAAACGTCTTAAAGAGAGCGACCTAGTCCGCGACTCAACCTAGTAATTTCTTCGGTGGAAAATATTTCAAAATCTGAAAACAACTATTTTAAGACGTTTCAAACTGCAATGGCTACCGAAGAAATTATTGGTTCTTTTATGGATATTGTCTTTGAGAAATCGTTCATGTTTGAGAGAAGTCACTTCAAACGTTGGAAATAAAAGATGAAGTTCTTAACGTTGAAAAAAGTTGCTAACGTTCTGATCGATGACATTCTGTTGCTCCTTTTGGAACAACCGAACAAACTAACGATAGTAAATCTGGAGATTTAGAAGAAACACTTAATAGTGTTGAAGTTGAATCTGCTGCACAGATTAAAGCGAATGATTTACAGCATAGTAAAGAAATCACCTTATAGAAAGAGAATGAAAATCTCTACAAAACCATATTTTGAATAGACTCGCAGATGATCTGTATGATAATTACAGTTGATGTGATACAGCAAAACAAGATTGAGAGACTCAAAAAGAAGTATGACGTAGAAGTTGGAGCAAAGAAGTATGTTGTTAGCCGCTACTTCAAGTATCAAATGCAAAGATGTAAGGTCGATGAAAGCTCAATGTTACGAACTTCAAAAGATTGCTTAAAAGATCATCACAAAAGGTATGTGTTTAAATGAACAATTTAAAATTGGTTTTATTATTGACAAACTACCCCATAGTTTGAATGTTTAAAAAACAAAAAGAGAATCTTAGAGACAATATCAAAAAGAAAAAGTCTTGGTTGTTTCAAATAACAAAAATAAATTCGGTGTAGTTCTGAAGCCATTTGGCAAATGATTAAAGAATCAGAACTGCAATATTATGAACCGAATAAAGAATGGGAATCCTTCTATTCTCCCAATAGCTCCAACTAGGCAACAACGACCACCTAAAAGAAATGATGTTGGTTTCCCTTTGTTTTAATTATGGAAAATCAAGTCATATGACTGAGAAATATAGAAGTAAGCTTGAACTTGGTGTTGTCCCTAATGCACAGGTCAACCTGACTAATGGGCAATTTATTGCTATGGCCATTGAAATCAACATGGTTGATGGATATGTTGGTTGGTGGATAGACACATGCGTCTCTCGTTGTGTCTGTTATGATCATGTTATGTTTAAACATACACGAATACTAAAGATAAGAAAGTATTATTGGGAGATGGCCAGACCACGAGTGTTGCTGGAGTTGTAGACATAGAGCTAAATTTCACCTTAAAAAAGACTTTAATCTTAAGGAACGTTATGCATGTTCCTAAGATTCGAAAGAATATTGTTTCTGGTTTTATTTTAAATAAGACATGGTTTAGTCAGTCTATTGGGGTAGATTTGTTCGCCATTACGAAGAATGAAGTTTATATGTTTAAATTTTTTGTAAATAATTTGAAAATGATATAATAAGAATTTGTAGTGATAGATAAATTGTATGATTCTAGTTTATTAATGAATTTTATACATGGAATTGTACATGAAACGACTGTACCATACTATCTTCCAATGAATGGTAAAACAGAAAGAAATAATAGAACTCTTATTGAACTTATTGTTGCAATTAAGATGAATTATGGTGCTGCACCTCACTGGTGGGGGGAAATTTTATTGTTTGTTTGCTATGTCCTGAATAGAGTCCCCAAGTCAAAATGTAAGATCTCTCTTTATGAGATATTAAAGAAAAGACAACAAAACTTGTCTTATTTGAGAACTTGGGGTTGTCTGGCTTATGTCAGAATTCCGGATTCGAAACGAGTTAAACTCGCTAGTAGAGAATATAATTATGTTTTCATTGGGTATGCAGCAAACAGTAAATCATATAGGTTTTATGACCTAAAGGCAAAAGTGATCATAGAATCACATGATGCTGAATTCTATGAAGACAAATTTCCTTTCAAATTGAGAAATAGTGGGGGAACACAATCGAGTCACATTCCTATGATAAGAAGCACAAAAAGCAACGACAATGTAGAAACAGAACTTCGACGAAGTAAACGAGTAAGAGCTGCTAAAGACTATAGGCCTGATTATACGGCTTATAATGTAGAAGAAGATCTAATGAATCTTCAAGAAGCCTTGTCATCTCTGGATTTATATTTATGGCAAGAAGCTATCAATTATGAGATAGAATCTCTAGAATCTAACAAGACCTGACACTTAGTAGACTTGTCTCCTGGTTGCAAACTAATCGGTTGTAAATGGGTTTTGAAAAAGAAACCAAAACCTGATGGAACTATTGATAAATACAAGGTTCGCCTTGTTGCCAAGGGTTTTACACAAATAGAAAATATAAATTTCTTCGACACCTTTTCTTCTGTCACTAGAATTACATCCATTAGGGTACTTATTTAAATAGCTGCTATTTATAACTTAATAGTACACCAAATGGATGTTAAAAAAACTTTTTTAAACGGTGACTTAGAAGAAGAAATCTATATGAAACAACCGGAAGGGTTTGTGATCTATGGATAAGAAAACAAGGTATGTAAGTTAGATAAGTCTTTGTATGGGCTAAAACAAGCTCCAAAGCAATGTCATGTAAAGTTTGATAACTTAATGATATCGAATGTGTACAAAGTGAATGAAAGTGACAAATACGTTTATTACAAATTTGAGAATTCTATTTGCACTATCATATATCTATATGTAGATGATCTACTCATATTTAGATCAAACATTCAGGCCATTAGTGATATGAAATCATTATTGTGCAACAACTTTGATATGAAAGACTTCGGAGAAGTGAGTATGATTCTTGGTATCAAGATCATAAAATCCGAGCAAGGAATTTCTTGGGATCAATCACAATATGTGAAAAAGATCTTAAAGACATATAATTACTTTGACAGTAAACCTGTAAGCACACCAAATGATCCAAGCATGAAGCCGTTTAAGAACACTAGTGAAAGTGTTAGACAAACAGAATATGCGAGCATCATTGGAAGTCTTAGGTATTCCATTGATTGTACTAAACCCAACATTGCATATGTCGTGGGATTGTTGTGCGGGTTTACTAGTAGACCGAGTAATGAACATTGGCAAGCTATTGAGCGAGTCATACAGTACGTTAAAAGGACAATGAATCTCGATTTACATTATCAGAGATTTCCTATTGTACCTGAAGGGTACAATGATGCAGATTGGAATACCTTATCAGATGATTCCAAAGGAACTAGTGGTTATGTATTCAACATAGTTAGAGGAGTTGTATCTTGGAAATCAAAGAAACATACTATCATGAGAATATAGCATTAGCGACTGCTAGTGAAGAAGCAAGTTGGTTAAGATGCTTGCTAACTGAGATTCCCTTATGGGAAAAACATATGTCAGTTGTGTTGATCCACTGCGATAGTACCACGGCTATTGGAAAAATTGAGAACCGTTATTATAATGGTAAAAGACGTCAAATTAGAAGAAAGCATAATATTGTTAGAGATTGTATCTCTAAAGGAGTTGTAAGAGTGGATCATGTATGCACTGATGAAAATTTAGCAGATCCTTTGACGAAAGGATTAGCTAGAGAGAAAGTCTATAATACATCATATAAGATGGGACTAATGCTTATAGGAAAATGAGTTGCTCATGATGGTAACTCGACCTAAATGACTGGAGATCCCAAGAAATAGGTTCAATGGGTAACAACACGTTGTGAGTAATATGAGATGATTATGCAAGTAAAGCATGAATCTTGAAGTAATAAGAGGATGAGATAATAGAAACTCTTAATGAGATCTATACTCTGTATGAGGGAGTACCTAGGCTACAGGAGTACTCTTGATAGACTCACCTATGTGATTGTGGAACTTAGGCCGGTTCCTATGGAATTTCGAGGCAGAATTCCTAGAGCCTTCATTAAACTGGGATACACGTGCAGGGCCATTAAAGCACGGGCTATTAGAATACACCTTAAGAAAAGGTTGTGTGCGGGTTTGATGTCTGAGATAGAGTTTAAGACATTTGTGTCACTCTTGTTGAATTGGAATCCTACTTGCTATGCAAAGGTTCAAGTCTTAGACACCTTTGTTTATGCATAATCTTAGAAACGTTTGACGTTACTTCTAAAATCAATTTTTTAAATTCAAGTGGGGGATTGTTGGAACATGTCTATGTTCCAATATATAGAATTTAAAAATTTCTCAAGTCCCCCATTGTTAGAATATCTTTTTGGTTGAAAAAACCATTTAGTCCCACATTTCTCATGTGAGAAATATTAACTATATTACTTCACTATATAAGGAGTGCACATGTTTCATTCCAAATCACACCAAAAACTATTCTATTAGTTTTTCCTTCCTCACTCTCATAACTCTGCGTCTCTCGAATTGTCGAAGCGCCACCTTCTTCCCCTTTCTTCCTACTCGTTGAATTTTCCGAGTATTTTCTTGAATTCTCTTTAGAGAATTATGTTAATTTCTCCTCATTTGAGTTGAGAAATTTTCAAGTTTAATCTTTTGGATTCTCTTTGGAGAATTATTTGAATTTCTCTTTGTTGGAGAAATTATTATGAGTGATCAAATAACCATTATTAATTTCTCTTTGGAGAATTATTTGAGTTTCTTTTTGTTTGAGAAATTATTATGACTGTTCTTTGTACCAGATACTATGAGTGGTGTTGATACCATATTTGAATGGTCTTGTACCATCAGAGGGTGTATTTCTAGACCGATTATCTACCATGCAAGTAGTAATCGTACAGTATAGAACTGGGCTCTTTTATCCTGGAGGCGACGCGGTAGTTCGACTGCTTTGCATAATTTTGAGCAGTGCCGCGAAACGTCTTAAAGAGAGCGACCTAGTTCGCGACTCAACCTAGTAATTTCTTCGGTGACAAATATTTCAAAATCTGAAAACAACAGAAACTAAATTGATGGATTATTGAAAAGAAATCACTTCACCCCTTAGAAAAAAGAGACTAGTTGGACCATTATCTTGCACCAATGCTAGCTTTACAGGACATTCTGCACCCTCATCAATGCTTAAAAATCCAGTATTCTCGTTAATATCAGTCTTAACAAACTCAGGGCATAAACAATTTATGCGAAAATGAGGAAACTTCATTGCTAGCAACCTTGTGTATGAATTCAAAGCTGCTTTTGCCATTGTGTAACCAGAAAGAAAAGTTGGCCAGTTTTTGGATTCCAAGACTCCTTCTTTGTAATCTTTCAGAAACATTCTGAGCACGTCACCAAGTTTTTCATTTGTAAGGCTTTTTATGTCATCAAACACTCCTCTTGCCCAATCATTTGGCATACACTTGATGGACAAAAGAAGAAAAGTAAGAAAACTTTAGGTTCTTATCTCGCTTGTGCAAATATATGATTGTAAAAATAGTTTTACCTTCAATTGGCCGCATCGAGAGGAGACATTGACGATTCTTGGAGAAGTGGAAGAAAAGCTTCAGTTACTCTTTCAGCACCAAAGAAGTTTGTTTCAACACATTGTTCGGCTAATTCACAATTTTGTTGCACTACTATATTCCAATATTTCACCCCTTATCTACACAAACAAATCAAAACTATTTAATCAAGTTTTGTTTCTTTGACACACAAAATATACTCTACCATTACAAGAAAATTTGGCAGGTTACAGCGGTTAGAACTGCCGCAAATGGCAAGTCATGACGATTCCAATTCTTTCTCAAAAACGTGTGTAGCCCGACTTTTATTAATTTTTTTATAAATAAAAGGGCGGTTCTCCAAAACGGCTTTGACAACCGTCCCGAATAGAGAAATACGACGGTTTTATTTAACCGTCGTGACTTATGTGTCTTTAAACTCGTGCGATGTAAGATCAATATGAAATTATGAATATTACCTTTTTAAGAATTTTCTCACCATTCACTATTCCCCCAGCAACACCTGCATTATTCACCTACACCAATGTTTTCAAATTTGAAAATTAACTCTTAAATAAAAACTTAGGAGATGAAATTAAATTCACTACAAAAAAGAAGCTCAGTTGCCACGTGAAAATCATGTGGCAAACATCAAAATCACGTGGCAAGGCAAAATTAGCGACGTGGTGAGTTATGTCGCTGGGGAGTAAGTGGCAAGCAAGTAGCGACGTGATTCCCACGTCACAAAGTTGTGACGTGGTATTCACGTCGCTACATATTACATAATGACAGCTTTATTAGCGACGTGAGAATCATGTCACTAATTTGTGACATGATTCCCACGTCGCTACAGGGGACGTTTATATTTTTTAAAAAATTGTTAATAATTAATTTTTATATTAATTCATTAATGTAATAAAATTTAAATAATAAAATTTATATAATAAAATTTAAATAATAAAATTTATATAATAAATTTATATATTAAAATTTATATAATAAATTTTATATAATAAAATTTATATATTAAAATTATTAGAATAATAGTATTTTATTTTATATTTCGAATAATAGAATTTTATAAAATAAATTCACATAATTAAATGTTATATAATTTATTAATTTAAAATGATAAAAATAAATATATCTTACATAAATGCAAATATAAAAACGAAATAAAAAAAATGTTTTCACGGGGCATCTTCACCCGGAAAATTATCAAGATCAAAGTCATCAAGTCCGTCATCATCCGGCTGTGTATGATCAGGAACATTTTGATTTCGACCGCCTTGCATAAACTGTCTCATCTGCTCCTCCATATCAGATTGCCGCTTCCGCATGATCTCTAACTGACGCTCCTGCTCTTGCCTCATTGTCGTCATTTGGGCCTCCATTTCGCGTCTCACTTCACTGGCCGCCAATTGTCGTACTGTTTCAAGTTGAACCTGAGTCAGATTGGGTTGACGTGACCCCCCTTCTCCATCTCTAAGTCTTTGAAACAGATTACGATCACCAACTCTCAAGCCGGCGGCCAAATTTCCTCCCGCAAAAAAGCAACCATTAGGCCCTTTTCCATTAACAACCTCATTCCAAATATAGAAATCAACATCCCCATTAAGCGGCTCCCCCTCTGCTGGCCTGTATTGCGGATTGTGTTCCAGAAAACGTGCTAGCAATGTCTGATAATCATCCTACACATACATTAAATAATACAATTAAAAAAAAATTAAAACATTTATATATTAAATTATACTAAATTCAAATATATTAAAAATTTGTCACGTGATTTTCACAAATCAACTTATGAATTGCCACGTGAGTTTCCCGTGGCAATGTATCAGTTGCCATATGAAAATCAGTCACCTGGCAATTTATCAGTTGCCACATGATAATCACGCCACAACTTATAGATTGCCACGTGGAAATAACGTCACTATTTTTGTTATTAACTTAAAAAAAAACATAAGTTTAATTACTTACAAAAGCTTTCTGGGTGCGGTCGTCGACAAAACCTCCCGATTTTTTTGTCCGAGTCCTCGTAATCAACTCAATGATCAACGGTGGTCTCCCCATCTCCTTAGTCTAAACAATAAAGTTAAAAATAATTAGTAAAAAATATTATGAATAAAAATATATATAACTTAAAAAATTAGTAATATTTACCATCCGCCGGACATGCTCTGCAGTGCTAATACTTCCAACAGTATTGACACATCCCCCCATTTTCGGATGCCCTTTACTGTTAACAGCTCTACTGCGAACTTGATATCTTGGACTATTACAAAACTTACACTCCTCTAACGATCCATCTTGAGTACCAAACTCATTGTCATAAAACAACATGCAACCGTTAATGCAACAGTCAATCTTTCTTACTTTTAAACCCAACTTCGACACCCACTTCTTTGCGTCATAATAACTTGTAGGCAAATTGTCTTTCGTAGCGGTGGAGTCCAACATCATTTTTGCAAAATGTTCCAAACATTGATCAGAAACATTCCAATTTGACTTGGCAGCCAATAATCTCACACACATTGATAGCTTCGAGTCTGACGACCCCTCAAACAACGGCGTATTCATCTCGTTCAATAATTGATAAAATCTTTGCGCTTCCTCATTCGGCAACTCTTCCCCGTCAAAATCTTCAGGTTCATCATATGTCACGTTCACACCAAAAGCATCCTCAACCATGTCACCGATCAAATTAAAGTTCTCCTCATACTCCATAACCGGTCGACTACTTGAAGCATGCGTGTTGCTAGTCTCTGGTACATTAACCGGTAGTTCTTCACCATTATACGTCCAAACCCAATAATTTTCAATGAATCCCCTTCTATGCAGATGACGTGTTACTTCCTCTGGGTCACTAATTATTGGTCTACATTCACACTTAAGACAGGGACATCTAACCCCTCCTTCGCTTCGACAACAATCCTGAGCAAACGCCCACTTAATAAACCCATCAACTCCTACTATAAAATTGGGTTTAAGTCCACTTCTTCCTGGATATGTTCTATCGTACATCCAACTGCGATAATACCGATAATATTCCATACTGCACATTTATACAATCATTGTCTTTTTCATTAGAAATATTCTTAAACTATTTAATACTATTCTTAGAAATATAAATTTTGCTTTTTTATATATATACTAACATATAAATAAATATTCAAATGTAAAATATATAATTTTTTATTACATAACAATAATATCAAAAAACAATAATATAACATATTTACTTTTTATTATATATACAACAATAATATTAGAAAACAAATAATGTAAGATACATACTATTTATTATTATATATATATCAATAATATTAAAATAATAATATAATATATATATTCTTTTTTTAAATATGTTTTTTATAAATTGTTATTCTAATATATAATTTTTTTTCCATATCTTTAACATATAAATAAAAAAATAAAACTATTATAATAAATACAATTTACATCTATAAAAAACATGTTATTAAATATGTTATTAAATTTATGTTTTCTAAAATTTTTTAAAAAATATATTAAATATGTTATTAAAAAATATGCAAATTACATATACACATATACTACTAAAAAATATATAAATCACATATATTCATATATTCCACAATTTATACTACTATAAAATTACATATATTATAAATCACTATTCAAATATTCCTAATTACATATATTCCTAATTAAAATTACATATACACATATGTTATTAAATATGTTTTTAAATTTTTTTTTATTATCAGTAATTTTATACTACTAACAGTATATACATATATTCCTAATTACCACAAAATACATATACAAATCTAATCTATATAATACATATAAAATCTAAAAAAAAATGCATAAATACCTCTATAATTTCTTCAATAAATTTGCGTCTTCTAGTTCTTGGTGTTCTTCAAATTTCTCTACAAATAATAACGAACAATCGAACAAATACCATGTTAATTAAATAGTTCATTCCAGTATAAAAACTAAAGATAAAACGAAATAAACATTTAACATCACATGCATACCTTAGATTTCTTCAACAAATTGGAATGGAAGAAAATTAATTCGCAAAATTGGGTTTGAGTTTGTGAGAGGTTACTGTAAATCAAAATTGGAATGGAAGCAAGCAAAGGGGAAGAAGAAGAAGCACGCTACTGTAAATCAAAACGTTAACATTTGTAACTTCTAGTAGCGACGTGACTGTCACGTCGCAACGTTGCCACGTGATAATCACGTCGCTACAATGCAATCATAAATACTTTTCTCTGTCCAACACTGCGCAGCGAAATTATTTTTCCCCCCAAAAATTTAGCGACGTGGGTATCACGTCGCTACAAAATTTCAAAATTCCCTCTCAACAACGTTCACCAGTTTCCATTAAATGTCATTAAAATATATTAGCGACGTGGTTATCACGTCGCTACTACCCACGTGATAAGCACGTCGCTAATATATGTCGCTGGGGACATATATTTTTGTAGTGATTACCATACATATATAGCTACCAAGATATCAAGTTTTCCAAATCTGATTCTAATGAACTCAGCTAAAGAAGCAACAGTTATAGGGTCAGTCACATCAAGTTGATGAAAAACCACAAAATCAGAGAGACCTAACTCTTTCAAGCTTTCAACTGCATCTAAACCTCTTTTCTCATTTCTAGCTGTAAGCACCACAATTACACCACTTGAAGCCAATTTCTTACATATCCCATAACCAATTCCTTTGTTAGCTCCTGTTACTATTGCATACCTAAACAAATATAATAAATGCATACATAAATATATCAGCCAGAGTTACAAAAACACAAGATTTGTGAGAGTATCATTTACCTGTACGTTTTTGCTTTTTTTCCCATGTTGAAGATAATTTAGAATTTAGAAGTACTACTTCTGACTTTTTATGGGTTGTAAAACAAATCGTAGTACACATGGTTTTGATAAAAGAATACTTAGAACGTGGCACTTGTTCCCTTCATTGGATACAATTATCATGGATCCAGGAGAGACTTGTAAATAATTAAGATTTCCTCTTGGTGGTGAACGCTAACTCAAATTTTTTATTGAGAGTATCAAATTCATTAAAGTTCATGCAGGTCGTTGGTGTTAGAATAGTGATGTTAGTTAGTTTTGACTTATTCAAGCTTAGAGTTATTTAATTGTTATGAATAAGCCTATTCTTTAGGAATAGGATTCTTTGTTTGATTTATTCTTCCCTAGAAATAGCCATGATCTAGTCATTTAAATCATGGTCCTTATTTTACTCCTTTTCTGTTTCTGTACTGGCTACAATTAAAGTCATTCACTTACGTTCAATAAAACAAGTTTGATAGCTATCATCTCATTTTAACAGTGGTATCAGAGCTCACACAAGGGTCTGATCGATAGTAAGGAAAAAAAATAAAGAGAGAGAGGAAACAACAAGCCATGTCTGAAGGCAATAATCTTCTCAGTATCCCAAAGTTCGATGGAGATTATGATCACTGGTCCATGCTAATGGAAAATTTGCTGAGATCAAAGGAGTACTGGAGCTTAGTGGAGCAAGGCTATGAAGAGCCTAAAACGCCGGCGTCACTCACAGCAGCAGAACATCGAACCTTGGAGGAGAAAAAGCTAAAGGATTTGAAGGCAAAGAATTATCTGTTTCAATCTATTGACAAAAATATTTTGAAAACAATCACCAACAAATCCACCTCAAAAGCACTGTGGGATTCAATGAAGCGAAAATATCAGGGGAATGCTCGAGTTCAACGAGCTCAACTCCAAAGGCTACGCCGGGATTTCGAAATTCTAGAAATGCAAAATGGTGAGTGTGTGAATGATTATATGTCTAGAGTCATGTTAACTGCAAATGACATGAGAGGAGCAGGAGAGACCATGGAGGATAGACATATCGTTGAGAAGATTATGCGCACACTATCTGACAAGTACAATTATATTGTATGCTCAATCGAAGAATCCAATGATATCAATACGATGACGGTAGATGAACTGCATAGTTCATTGCTTGTACATGAATACAAGATTAAACGAAAGGATGTGACTGAACAAGCATTGAAGGTTACAGAAGACGGTTTAAATTCACGAGTTGAGAAACGATTCAGCGACATAGGTAGAGGACGTGGAGGATACAGAGGTAGAGGCAGAGGCAGAGCATTCAATAAATCCACAGTTGAGTGTTATCAATGTCAGAAGCTGGGACATTTCCAACACGAATGTCCCACCTATGCCATGAAGGGGTGAAAAACACAAGAAGGGGGGGTTGAATTGTAAAACTGAAATCTTAAAGCAATTGACAAGATATTTTTTATCCTGGTTCGTTTGATCTCAAACTACTCCAGTCCACCCGTCAAGGTGATTTCGCCTCTCTCCAACGAGGTCTTAATTCACTATATTCAACTGAATACAAATCTGCTTTAACAACTGCTAAAGCCTTCTTGATTCAAACCACAATCCGGTTTGTCAAGGCAACACTTTCTTACAAAGGTATAAAATAATGTGTGTGAATGTTTTCTACAAAACTTTATCACAACTATGATGTATACACAAATTAAGCTTAGAAACTAGATTGCTAAACGCTAATGGAGTATCAGAGTTTGTGGTTTAGCAAAACTGGTAGATGAAGATTATTGTTCAGCTTTGTGCGTGTAGAGATTTTGAGAGCATTAGCCATTATAATCTTCGAAGCCTTGTTTATATAGCACTTGAGAAGATGAACGTTGAATGCAATATTCTTGATTCAATGCTAATAACAAGCTTTCCTTTTTGAGCAGATCTTGTCTAGAATGAGGCCGTTGGAATTGATTAGCTTTCAATGCACAGTACCGTTTCTTCTTCAATGCACGTTCTGGCTTGGCTCATTCTGATTCTGCTTCGCTGCTGATGAACTATTGTGTTTCTGTATCAGAGTGTTTACGCGCAGTTCTGTTCATAAAGCTTCAGCATGTACGTGAGTTGATCATCTGATCTTGACGTTCTGATTCAGCAACTTCTGATGCTGGTGTATGAAATCAAATTCTGATGCTGAATAAGTGATCTTGCTTATTTCAATCAGCGTATCTGCAAGTCAGAGCATAGTAATTTTAGGCAGCATATAGTTCAAACATGAAACATATAAATACTATATCTTTTCACTTTGTTATCATCAAAACTCAAATATAGGGTAGTAGATTCAAACATTGTTCTAACAATCTCCCCCTTTTTGATGATGACAAAAACTAGATATTTTAAATGAAAAAATAACGTGAAAAGGTGTCTGGGGAATGTTTCAGATTTAAGAAGTAAGGAGAAATCAGAGTTAAGAGATACTCCCCCTGAGTTTGTTACTTCCCTTTGATATACGTGTTCTTCAGGATCAGATCTTTTTCTTTCTTTGAACATCAGATTATAAGAGTCTTTGACTTATCCGAGAGCAGAGCTTCAGAGCTTTTCCTGTCAGAGCTTTGCTTTGGATCGGAGTATTAGGTCGATCAGAACTTCATATTTGATCAGAGCAACATTGATCAGAGCTTCTACATTTTGATCAGAGCTTCTAGCTTCTAGTCTTCATAGTGTTCAGGAGCTTCCTTGTGCCTGTAGACTTTAAACAAAACAGAAAAACATTTCAAGTAATAGAGTTAGAATGTTTGAGAATTTCTGTCTAGTTAGCCGTTATTGATTTTTAAATATCATTCTTTCTCCCCCTTTTTGTCAGCAATCAAAAAGTGTTGGTGATGTGCTAAAACAATTTAGATCAGAAAAACAAATTATATTAAAATAGTTCAGAATCAGAGCAAAAGAACATTACAAAACATAGTCAAAACAGTACATCAGAAAATGAAGAAAGCATGAAAAAGTTATGCATGAAAAAGATTTAAGGTTGAGGGGGCATGCGTGAGAACAGGCTTTCCAGCATCGCTTGAATCTTTTCAGAAGTTTCATTCTGCTTCTGAACCATGTTGACAACAGTGTCAATCTTGCTGTCATGTACGTCCATTCTTGCTTTCATCTTCTGATCATTCTCTTCCATCCGCTGCTGGAGACGCAAGTCATTCAGCCTTAATTCTTCCAGAGTCTGCCTGTCCAAGGCAGCTTGGGAAGCATCAGATGGAGGAGGCTTCTCAGAACTTTCAGCGATGTCTTCTGCTTGACTTTCAGCCTGAATGGTCTTGTCCTCTGATGGTTGCACCTGTGCAGCTTGCTGTTTCTCCAACCAAGGTTCACTGTCCAGAGGGAGCACAACTTCTTGAGGCAGCTGACTTTCAACTTCCTTCAGCAGCTTGCTGAAGTTCTGTTGAGCCTGCTCATAGTTGACGTCCTGCAGCTGGAGGGCTTCAGCATGTACCCATAGTCTGAACTGTGACCAGAGCTGATCAGAAGCAGCTGGGTCAATTATTCCAGGACAGACTTGCTTCAAAGAAGCAATCCATTGCAGCATACCTGTTTCAAAATTCAAAATACCAGAGCCAACATCTGGTTGCTTTGGTTTTGGGATAGCAATTTTGTGTCTTAGATCAGCAAGACGTTCAAGACTGGTTAAGTCAATGAAGATCCTGCTGGGATTTTCAGAGGATTGGTTTTCAGAGGTTTGCTGAGATGCTGTTGGTTTTGGAGGAGGGGTATCAGAATCAGATATTTCAATTGGAGTGGTAGGAGTTTTTGGAGGTGTCGATTCTAATGAGGATGGCAACTGGGGCCTGACAATGGTGGTTCCACATGGCAACTGGATTGCCAGCGGTGAAGGTTGAGGTGAGTGATGGTCAGAATGATGAGGAGAAGGGGTTTCATAGTGGTGAAACTCTGTTTGTGGTGAAGGTGGATTATTTTCTGGTTGAGGAGGTGGAATCTCTGATTGCTCAGGGATCAGAGGTTCTTCTGTGAGAGGTTGTTGTTGTTGTGGTTCTGGTTCTGGTTGTTGTTCTTGTTCTGGTTCGGGTTGTGGTTCTGGTTGTGGAGGAGGAATATTTGGTGGTTCAGAATTTGGTTGAGCAGAAGCATGTTCCCGCTCAATATCAGCTAGCACTCGATCTAGTGCTGGTGTTGTTGAAACAGTTGGTTGTTTGGGAATTTTAGTTCTGGTTCTTCTGAGTTGTAAGGCCTCAGAAGGGTCTCCTGGTATGGTTTCATCAATGGTAGGGATTGGGATTGATATTCTGTGAGAGGTTTGAGGAGGGGCAGCAGATGTTGGAATAGTAGATGAAATTGAAATAGGGGCAGCAGATGAAATACCTCTTTTCTTTGGAGTCTGCTGAGACGATCCTTCTGCTGGTGCTTTCCTCTTCTTTGTCTTCTTCTGAGTCACTTCAGGTTGGGGGTGACTCAGATCTTTGATCTTCAGCTTTGAACCTGTATCTTCTGCCTTGTATGAATCTGGATACTTGAGAAACATATCAGGTTTGGATTCCATTTCAGAAAATACCGGGAAATCACTCAGAGGCACTCTTCTGCTGGAGATGTCAGCAGTTGAAGTAACTCTGGGTTCCTTCTTAATATTTTCTATCAGCTTCATCTTTTTCAGGTTCTTAGCGTTCAGCGGTTTTCCAACAGTTGGTTCAATAGTGCTCAGCACTTGAGCTTCGCTCAGATACTCTATCAGCTTATTCTCTGTCAGAATATCTGATATGAGCCTTCCAAACGGTATCCAGTCCCTTTTGGTCCTTTCTTCTTCTCTTGTTTCTTTGACACTGGTCTTGAGATGGTTGAACAGGAAGTGTGCCAGATTGATCTTTACCCTCTGATCAATAAAGTAGATCAGAAATTGCTGATCCACGTTTATATAATCAGGAGAACTTGTTGGTTTCCTGTGATTGAAGCAGCCCAGAACAATCTTGGCCCATACTCTGCAGTGATCCTTCAGATCCTTAATTTTGCTGCTGGGCAT